GCGTCCTCAGCTCATCACCCACCATCCCCATGTCCTCAGCTCATCACCCACCATCCCCACGTCCTCAGCTCGTCACCCACCATCCCCACGTCCTCAGCTCATCACCCACCATCCCCACTTCCTCAGCTTGTCACCCACCATCCCCACATCCTCTCCAAATCCTCCTCACCCCCAAGCAGCAGGGCCCATGTTTGGTGTTCCCAGAATTATGGGTGTCTGGTTTTTTAGGTTCGAGTCTGCCTGCATCTGGGAAAGACTGTCCCAGCCCCTTCCTGTGCAGATGAGAGAGCTGCCATCACCCTATTTTTTTGTTATTAGAACTGATGGCTAGAGCCAGACCTCTCTGAGCTCTTTTCTGCTGATGGTCCCTGGGGGACATGTTTGGATCTCCAGCCATCCAGAGCCCCCAGATGTTGTGCAGCTTATCCTCCCACAGGGCACGTGTCCATTAGAGGATACTGGGGCCATTTCCAGCTCAGTACTGAGTAACTCAGTGCTTTGTTTTATCCAGGTGACCTAGTGTCCTAAGGGTAACTCATGCCTGCAGCTCTCTTGAGCTGCACATACACCAGGGTCATGTTTCCAGTTCTACCCAGTTGGTGTGGGACATCCACATGGACAGGAGAGGATCCCAGGAAAACTGTCCCAGTGCTTCAAAGGGACAGAGCTGAGAGGCTGGCAGCCATTCCTGATGCAGCATTTGACAGGTTCTCCTGCACAGCATCCAACCACTAACCCTGAGTTGTCTCTGCCTTCACCCATCACCATGGCATCATTTGACCACAAGTGGAGATGTCCTGCAGGCAATCAGCACATCATGCTAACGGGTCTGCAGCACCTGGGGTGCCAGCTCAAGTGTCCTCTGTCATCTCCTTCCCTTCCCCTGCCTCAAAGAGCTGGGATGTCTGCAGGCCCCGCTATACTCGAGTTGTTGACCTCACAGCAGCTTTCAGTATCCAAAGGGGGCTACAAGGATGCTGGAGGGGGACCTTCATCAGGGACTGTAGTGATAGGACAAAGGGTGATGGGTTCAAACTGAAACAGGGGAAGTTCATGTTAGACCTAAGGCAGAAGTTCTTCCCTGTGAGGGTGCTGAGGCGCTGGCACAGGGTGCCCAGAGAAGCTGTGGCTGCCCCATCCCTGGCAGTGTTCAAGGTCAGGTTGGACACAGGGGCTTGGAGCAACCTGCTCTAGTGGAAGGTGTGCCTGCCCATGGCAGGGGTTGGAGCTGGATGAGCTTTAAGATCCCTTCAAACCAGTCTGGGATTCTATGATTCTCTTGCCTGTTGGTACCCCACCACTGCTGGTACGCCTTCTCCCTGTGCAAGCTGATCTCTGATGACTTCTCACCCCACCTCCAGCATGGGCAGCACTCCTGGCAGATCCCAGCATGAGCTATTTCCCTGGCTGGAGAGCACATACTTCCCACACTAACAGCTCAAGATCTTTGCATGATGGCAGCAGGGCTGTGAACCCTGAGTAATGGCTTCATAATGCACCATTAGCAAGAGAGGGTGGAATTCTTATGGGAGAAGTGGGAATTGCACGGGCCCCAGGAGTGCTTACTGGCCAGGCACGTCAGCAGATTCCATTAGGAACTAGCTCTTAAAGCCCCAGCTCCATCAGCTGAGATCTCACCATGAATAGTTGAGAAGGAGGCTCCTCCAAGCTCCCTCCCCTGTGCCCAGCCAGTGCTCCTGGAGAGCCATGGTGCATTGGAGGCTGGCCCGGTTCATCCAGTGTGGGACATGGACAAGAGGTGATGCTGCCCTAGCTGGCTGTCTCTTAAGCCTGTGTCTCTCCAACCAAGATCCCCAGTGCATGGCAGCCAACTTTTTACATCGTCCTCCTGCACCAGCACATGGATATGGGCCGGACTCTTCTTCTTGGGCTTTGCACAAGGGTGGGGTTTCCCGAGCCTACAGTGGGAGGGGCAGTTCACGAGGGGCTCGGCTAGTGTCCTGCTGTGAGATCAATGCCCACGGCAGGGGTACACCACTGGAACAGATCCCCAGCTGAGGGACTGTGGGGACAGGAGCCAGCCCCTTGGTGAGGGTCTGATTTACAGCAGAGCTGTGCCACGGAGCAGTGTTTGCCTGGCGCTGTGCTGCTCTGCACTGCCTGGCAGCACCACCCTGGGACACATCCTGCTCAGCTGGCTGGGGAGGTTTTACACTTCCTTCTGTCATTCTTATGGATCTTTTTGTCAAAACCTCATCAATTTACCATGAAAACAGCCCAACCCTGGAATACCATCAAAAGTCTGCTTTCCTACCAGCAACCGCTGGCACAGACACGGAGATGTATGTTCTAGGAAGAGCTTCTTTTCAACAGGTTTTGTTTTAAATGATGTCCCATTTTGCAATAGCAAATTGAGCTGGGAAAAGCATTTTCCTTGTCTCAAGTGTGACTTCTCTGCTGTTGATGGCCAGAGCTCCCATGGTCGCCAGCAGCAGACTTGTGGCTGGTGCTCCCAGTGCTGGGTGCAGACAGGGCTCAGTGATGCTGAGGTGGGGTGTGTCCATGGGTGCTGCAGGGCCAGTACTGGGTACCCAACTCACTGTGCATGGACAGATCCTGGCACACGTGCAGGAGCCACTGCATGTCCTTTCCACAGCAGAGCTGAAGACAAGCGGGGTTTGTTACCTCCCAACATCAGGGCTGCCTGAGTGTGGGAAAGTCAGGGGTTTAGTAAGAAACTGTGCCTGGTAGAAAAGCCTAAGGTTATTTAACTGTAAAGCATGGA